AAGTTAAGACTTACAACACTTAGAATATATCAACTAATTATACATTTCACAAATAAGGGGAAAAGGGATTAAACTTTCACATGGATGTTTATTGTTGTTTTTGGTGTTCTAGAGTATAAACAATATTGTAGTAAATCGAAATGAGTGATAATAATAGATTTGAGCAATCGATCTAACATGTTGTCTCGGTAATTAAATTGATCTTCATTCTTTGTTAGTTGCAGAATCCATTTCTTATGTACAAAAATCGTGCAAATTTCTATTAAATCATCGTATGATCTTCTAATATCCAATTTTTTGAAGTTGGATTTAGCTAATTCCCAGCATAGATTGGCACCTGAAAAATGAAGTGGATCGTGTTTTGATGAGATTTATATGATAAATTTTTAAAAAAAATTCTGAACGTTCTTCGTTGATTAAAGATGATTTTTACAATTATAATGAAATATCAGTATTCTGAAAAATGTAAAACGTGATTAAGTATGAAGGTCAAGTTTTAAACTTTTCGAGCCTAGGCGGAAAAAAGCTATTATTTTTTAAATACTTAATCATTCTAAAACTATTTAATAATTAAAATAATACATATCAAACATCTAAAATTATTCTATATTAGTATATTTACTTAATAATTTATACAATTAGTCAATTATACAATTTTTAAGTTTTCGAAATGTAAAAGTTAAACTATTTTTCTTAATTTTAACTTTCAACTAAACAAATCCAACGTAACAAATATATATAAGAACGTCATACATACTTTTGAAATTTCTAGAAAGACGATAGTTTCAAAATAATAAATACATAATATATATAGCTCTGTAATTTAAATTTTTATTGGATAAAGTCATTTTGACTTTTGTACAGTTAAAGCCATTTAAAATTTTGAAACTAAAATCAAATAAAAGTTTCTGAAAAACATAAAATTAAAAAAAATTAATGAACTAAAGTCAAATAAAAGCTTTTTAAAAAATAATAATAATAATAAAGCGCGCCTAGTAGTAGTCAACTTAACAGTCGAAAGCTTAATTCCTACTTACTGTCAAGGTAAAGCATTTTGTCCGTGCCTCAAGTCTAGGCGATACCTAAACGTGTTTTTTACAATACTGTAAATTATTGAAGATCGTTTTATATATTATTAGAATAATAAGATAACAAGAAGGGGACAACATAATCTGAATTATTACAAACGTGCTGTAGCTCATAATACAAGTCAGTCCAAGTAAAATCCTCGAATTTATGAAGTGAAAATTAGGCTCCAAAATTATTATTTTTCTCCACATAGAAATTTACTGATATTAAAAAATTTGGGATATATACTGTATTTTTACAAAACAACTTTTTAGTGAAAAACAAAAGATAGACTTTTGCCACGTATATTATTGTTTAGCTATTTACCTTTTCCAGAATTTTCAAATATATATATTTTTAATGTATATCTCCAACAATATGATATCTTATACAATGTAAATCCTTTCATCTTACAGATTAAGGCGTATCTTGTCTAAGCAAAATTTTGAAAATGTTACATTTATTTCCGAGTTTTCCAGCTACTTTGTCGCCTACTTTAATTTTACATTTTTGTTAGATATATATATGAATTGTTTCCAGATTATAACTAAAACCCCGATTTCAGATTTCCTAGACTCCAATTAAACATTCAATTATACCTGATTCAAAATTTGAAAAAGGAATTTATTGGAAGTTAAATACTTTGACAACTCCTTTTCCCAAACAATTTGGGTGTTATTACAAAATAGAGTCTACAATCCCCAAAATTCTAATTTAAAATTGAGATGCAATCACAATTGATAAGTATATTTCACACATTTACCTGAAGTCCTAAATTTTCTTTAAGAGTTGATTAATTGAGAGGAATTTTACTCACATATAGACTTTTGCAGGTTAAATCCACAATTTAAAAATGTTTGAAACTTAGTCCCTGTTTGATGGTCATTATTGAGAAAAAAATGATGTTTTGAATAATAATTTTTTGGAGAATGTGTAATTAAAAAGCAGTAAATATTTTAAATTTAAGTGCAAAATACTTTATTCACAGTGTGAATGTTTGATTAAAAATAAGTATAAGAATTAAATAATTTTATTGTAAAGGGAGACAAACAATGGCTTATAACCCACGCAACACTACCATACACCATCATCATAGTAGTTGTCGCAATGACGGACACACGTGATGTCATATGAGGTCAAATGATCCCACAATTTTTTTGATTTTTTTCAAAAAATAATTATTTTAACCTTTTTACGACCTACTTTAATGCACTCGTTTCGAAATGTCAAATGAAGTCGTAACATTGTATTCATAATACCATTTTAAAGTGCTCATGACCTAATTTTCGCTTATTAATGGCGTGTGAAACGACTAACTATAGTAAAAGTTATGATGTATCAAAGTAGGCCGTTCCAAATTAGTATTTCAAGAATTTCGATAATACACTAATTTTCAAAACTCGTCGATGATGGTACACTATTCGAATCTACAAATCACCTATGTCATATAGAAGCCCATTTTGAGAACTATATCATAGTCATATTGAATAGTCCAAACGGATATTGGTAATAGTTAAACATGCGTCAAACGTACATCTTAAAAGAAGCATCTAACTCGTCTTTTCTCTAAAAAATCAATTATTTCATTAATATTTATTATTTTTGCACGATAATTTTTCAATATAATTTAAATTATTTTATCAGGAAATTTACATGGAATATAATGTTATAATTTTAGGATCGTTATGGATTAAATGTAATTTGAATTACTTTTGCATTAAATTTAAATTTCATTTACTTCCAAAATGAAATGTGATTTTTATTTCAATTCATTTACTTTCTACATTTTTGATTTACTCGTTGTCAACTAAACATCCGCCAACAAAATGGTAAATAAATTATATAAGTAGCAAAATCAATTTAACAATATTGATAATGATATAATTATGAGACGATTTCAAAGTAAAAAAATGCATATTAACTTATTTTCATTAACATTATATATATATATATATATATATATATATATTTTTTTTTTTTTTTTTTCA